GCTCAGGGGTCCAGGATTATCTTCTGTGTCTGTGTTAATTGGTTTCCCTTTTCTTTGTTGAAGAGGGTCTGTGCAATCTTTCTGCCTAGTCTGCCCTCTTGCCAGAACTCCCCTTAGTTCTTTTTTAAAATTATTTTATTATTTTTGTTGTTGAAAAGATATGCTTCAGAACGTACACCAATTCAGCAATGTCTACATTTGCAATTCAGTGGCATTGATAACATTCTTCAAGTCATGCAACTGTTCTCACACTGCTTTTCCTAATCCTCACTATTAACATAAACTTACCATCCACTAGGCTTCCTGTGCAATCTTTGGAGTTGTTGTTGTCAGTTTGATCCTATATATATGTTGTTGTTGTTATGTTGCCGTTGAGTCAGACCCGACTCATAGCGACTTCTCTTTGGGTTTCCGAGACAGTATCTGTATGGAAGTAGATTGCCCTATCTTCCTTCTGAGGAGTGGCTGGTGGGTTTGAACCGCCAGCCTTCTGGTTAGCAGTCAAGTGCCTTAGGCACTATGCTACCAGAGCTCCTGATGCTGGGGCTAGAATTCAGCAAACCATATTCGAACAGCTGACCAGAGTCAGAAAGAATATAAAGAACTGGTGGAATTGACTCCATGGCTATGGCCTTTTGGTTCTTTCAAAGAGCACCATGCTCTAGGCTGATAATCTTTACTAGTTAAGTTAAACTATTATTTGGTTTAAAGAAAGTTTCAGAGATACTTTTGGTTTAAGGTTTAAAGGTTATCTTAGGGCAGTATTTCCAGAAGTTCATCCAACTTCAATAGCTGCAGAAAATGTGGATTCCATGAGAGTTTGAAATTCTATTTCCCATTTTTTCCCCCATTGTTGGTCAGGATTCTTTTGTAGAAACTGATCAAAACATTCAGTAATGGTAGCAGGGCACCATTGAGTTCTGGTCTCATGGCAAAGGATGCAATTGTTAATAGAAGCATTTGGCCACAAATTCCATTCCTGGGAGCTCTGGTAGTGTAGTGCCTAAGGCACTGGACTGCTAACCAGAAGGCTGGCGGTTCAAACCCACCAGCCACTCCTCGGAAGGAAGATGGGGCAATCTACTTCCGTAGTGATACTGTCTCGGAAACCCAAGGAGGGCTCGCTATGAGTCGGTCTAACTTGAGGGCACACAACAAGAACAACAACAAGAACAACAAAATTCTTATTCCTAAGGAACTCTGGTGGTGCAGTGGGTAAAACATTTGGCTGCTAACCAGAAGGTCAGAGGTTCAAACCCACCAGCTGCTCCATGGGAAGAAGATGAAGGAATCAACTTCCATAAAGATTTAGTCTTGGAAACCTTATGGAGGTCACTATGAGTTGGAATTGACTTGATGTCAGTGGAAATACTATTCCTAAGTCTTCTTCCTCTTTGCTCCAGGTGAATAGAGACCAATTGTTTTACTGTGGGTGACTGATTGCAGCTTTTAAGAACAGAGTGGCTCCTTTTTAATGTAAGTAGATACTTAGTTTGTCCTCACCAGCCTGGTGCATTCCTAACCATGAAGGGCAGGCCCAGTCTTCCTGAGTTCCCAGACACTCCTCATTCCTCTTGTTTTGGTACAGCCAGCATTATTGATTGGTCACTCGGTGTTTGGC